CTCCATTAATTCTTTGATCTCCTGCATTTCTCTTACTTCCCTCTTTAGGGACTCAATTTCCTTCTTCTGATCTATCACTTTTTTAATCATGGCAATTTTAAATTCTCTTTCTGGAAGGCTCAGAAGTTCTTCCAAGTTGCTGTCGTTGCAATCTGGGGAGTGGTTTTCTTTTTGTGGTGTGCTTCTTTCCTGAGGAGTTTTTAGGTTGCGTGTGGTTCTTCTACTCCCTACTGTCTGTTTTCTAATTTGTCGTATGCGTTGGGACACTGTGTTGCTCGGACTGACTGAATTCTTGGGTGAACTTCTCCGCTCCCCTCTGGCTCTTCCAGGAGCCATCTCTGTCTTCTGGGGGAGCTTTCTGCTGGTTTTAGGCAGTTTTTACTGAAGAAATGTCCCTGTTCTCAAATGGCGAAGCGGGATGCAGTCCCTGCGCCTCCGGTTTCAGGCACACTCTTCTGCGCACCCGGTCTGCCCCGGACTTGGGTGCCTGCTCCCTCTGTGGGCTCAGACTGCTGGTCGGAAGGGGCCTGGCGTGGAATAACTTCCCGGCTGGCCACTGGGTCCTCCAGAAACCTTCTGCCCTTTTCAAGCAGTCTTAAGAAATGTCCTGTTTTATAGGGTGTTAGTGACTTTTTTTTTCCTGGTCGCTAGGTGGCGCCAGAGATCTCTCCTATTGTCCTTGGGGGGCTGTTTTTCGCCTCCCCCCACCCCGTGGGACAGAGAACAGAGCGGGAATGGTAGGGTACACCTCAACAGCTTTGGGGTGCTGTGTCTGCCTTGTGCCCCACCGTCGTGGAGAAACCACGCCCCGAATTTTCGTGCCCCGGGTCTCAGTTCAAAGCCCTCAGTTCCAGGACGCGGGCTGTAGCCCAGTTCAGTGGCGCGGGAATGGAGCCTTTTGCACCGCTCCCGTGCCTGGGCGCCTGGTTCCTGCTCACTCAGGGAGGGACCGTCACCTCAGTGAGGACCTCCGCGCGTCTCCCCGCAAGCCTAGGTCGTCTCCCCGCAAGCCTAGGTCGCAGGCGCGGGGACCTGGGCAGCCGCGATCCAGGTCTGCACTTGCTTTTCAAGCGCGCCAAGCGCACAGCTCTCCGCGCAAGCTTACCGGCAGCCCGGGCTGTGTGCGCGTCTCCCGGGGTCTTTGTTCTTCTCTAATGGCGCCCGGAGCCGTTCGCTCACCGCCGCGGCGGATCCTGCAGGGTTCGCCTCAGCTCCCGTTCATGGGGTGTGGTGGCTGCAATAGTTCCTTTCCACTCACAGTCCCGCTTGTTGCGTCGTTTGTTCTTGTGGGCCGTTTTGGTTTGTTGTTTCCTCCTCTCTGCCGGTCGGAGAGTGCCGCCTCTGTGGGCGGGGGAGGGGAGCAGGGTTCTGCGCTTCCCTCCCTTCTAGTCCTCTTTTATGGCCAGTTTCTTCTTCGGGCAGTTCGCTGGCGTCACCCGTTTATCTTCCGTGTCCCAGTTCTCACTGGGACCTGCCGCTTTTCCTCCCTATTAACTTTTTTTAATGGGAGATCTTACTCGCAGCGTCTCCTCGCCGCCATGTTGCTCCGCCCCTCTCCCCTAAAATGTACTTTTATGCAAAGATGATAACCATAGATTGTCAATCTGAGCAAGATAAAAGTTTTTCATGACTATTTTGCTCCCTAAATTCTAAATTTTAGTTTGCAAGTTAAATCCAAGATTCTGGAACCATTGTTTTTAAAACTTTCTGGACTTACGATGGGCATAGGGTCTAATGTGTGTGCATTATTATGTATCTGGTTTTCTTATATCATATACACATACAGTGATAATACTGACAGGACTTACCTTGACGAGCTATACAGTAATTCACTAGGTAAAGTGTATTTTTTGTTTAGTCATTCCCATGATACTTCGTGTTGGATCCATTTTTTTTTTTATGATTAATTCCTTAGAGTATATTCTCCAATGGGGGAATTTATGAATTAAGGCAATGCACTATTTTGCATTTAGCTGTTGTTATTTATCACAGATTGAAGCAGAAAGACAATATGCAGCAATGCCAACATTTATGAACACCCCAACCAATCATAGGTTAAAATTATTTCCAGCAATTTGATAGAAAAAGTGCTCTCAATTTCTATTTTTGGTAAGGATATGCCCCTTCCTCACAATGATTCTGTGGTTTAACTTCCCCTATTCATCTCTTCTCCTCACTTCCCGAGCAGACTTTGGGTGCTGACCTTTGGGATCTCAATTCTTTATATTTTGTATGGTAACCATTTAATCTTTTAAACTATCCCATTACTTTCACACATGCTGTGGCATTCCATTTAATATTTATTCTGTTGCCTTTATCTGGGCAATTTTTCTTTTCTTCTTCAGATATTCAGGCACATCTGTCTTGTAAATGATGATTTTCTCCACTGCTTCAGCAGCCCTAAGTTTATCTTTCCTGGACAGCTGGGTTAAAAATCTTATTCCATTTCCTTCTAGTTATTCTGTAGATAAATACAGTGGACTGTAAAAACAGGTCATTACACTCTGAAATCAATATACTTATAAAACTGCAGAACTTTCTGGTATGAGTGAAATTTGCTAGGAGTGTTCCCAAAGTGGACCCGTCCACATCATAAAATGACAGCTGTCAGAAAACTGATATCCTGTCCAATCAGGAGCAAAGTTGGACATGATATCTGCAAAGGGCAAAACTTCCTACTCCCCTTGAGAGTAGTCATCACCCTACAACTCTCTAAACTTCCCAAGTTTGCTTGCTAGACCTCAACAAGCTCATGTAAAGTTAATTTTCAAGAAGAAAGGTCAGCAACTGGCAAAGCAATCACCTGGGGAGACAAATACTGCATAGGAGTCTAAAAACCCCATCAAAATAGCTCTGGAGACATTTCATCTAATTTTGCACATAATGAATCTCCCTTGGAAATTTCAGTCATTTCTTCCCAAACATGGAAAATGGAGAGAAAATAGTGATAGTAAAAAAGCAGCATATATGTCACTTATCACCTTCATACCACATAGATAATCTTTACACATCTGTGTATGAGACAGAGATGGAAAAAATCAAGTAAATGCATTGAAAGGTTAACTGGTTCTTTGAAGAGATGTGTAATTTTGGGTAGACTTGATTTTCTTCTTTAGACTCTTTGCAATGTATATTTGCAATATATATTTAATTAAACATTGCTATACACATTCCCAAAGAACATACTTTCCTTTTAAAAATTGACATTAAGATGGAGATAGAAAAGATTATATTGAATCAAATTATATTGAAATATATTGCATTATATTGAATCAAATCCTACTAAAAATCAAGCTAAAATAGAATATTTCATTTAGGCCACTGCTTACTAAATATAAGCATCCACCCACTCCCCTTTTGCATACAATATCAGGTATCCTACCATCACTTTTAACAGTATGTCTATCAGATAATCAATACAATAAAATTAAAAGGATTCTCAAAATATCAACTTTCAACCTGTCATATTTTTTAAAGAGACTATAATCTCTAAAGCACCTGCAAAATTATCTACAATGAGGTTTACATAAGAGTCACATGATAGCATTGTGGTTAAGTTTTTCTTTTAAGGACTTATCTGTAAATACAGAAACATTTACTAGTAATGATAAATTATGAAATATTTAAGATTTCCTTAAAATACTCTTGCAAAAAAAAGTAGAGGAAGAGGGATGAAACAAGAGCAGAAAATTAGAAATATTTACAGTAGGTGATGGGTACCATTATACTATTCAACTTTATGTACAACTTTTCCCTAACAGTTTTATAAAGGGACCATAAAAAATGAAAGGCAATATATACATGTATACAACCGTTCCTTATATTATCCAATTTAAGCTCAGAGGCCAACTTTTTTAACTTCAGGGTGACTATTTCAAGGGATCATCTGACTATGTACCTTTTATTAGAAAATGCAAAGTATGTGCACGTATAAGTCTATCAAGGGAAAAAAATGCCTTTTATATGTATCTACAGATTTGATTCAGAGGATTGCAGTTTTTCTGTCCTGGGCCAGAATGAGACCAGATAGTCAGCACTATTTGGTTTGTGACACTTAAAGAATAAAGTGAGATGCATGCGGACCCCAACAGCAATAAGACCCGATTCCAGAGGGCCCCATTCTCCTGCTTGATAGGTAGAAAGGGCTCTGCTACTTCTAACAAGATGAGAGGGCCAATTACAAGTCAGCTACAAGGCAAAAAGCCTCAACACTCAACACAAGTTAGACAACCAAGACCAACATCACTTACTTTCTATCATCTGTTTTCAATAACAGTTGCAAAGGATGATATAAATTATTAAGGATCTGGAATCCCCAAACTGATACATTCCATTTTATCAGAAGTAAAATGAAGACACAATCCCATACAGGTTCAAAAGATGAAGAACTTTCATCTGCATTATCACAAGTGATCCTCAACTCCCTTGAAAGGTGGTAAGGCCTGTATTGGCCCCACTTTACAGATGCAGAAACTCAGCTTCAGAACACTTGCTCTTAAACAACAATCTCTGACTCCAGGGCAGTGTTCTTCCACTCTCCTAGACACTCTCCTGGACATGTGTTTGTGATGGTGAGGAAGCAAGCACCTCAGAAAGTAAAGTAAGTCAGAAAAGAGAGGGAATCAGCGTTAGGTCTAACACTTCCTGAGTCTCAAATCATCCTCAATTACTTCATCATCATCGATTGTCTTACTCTGCCTATTCTTTGCTATAAGCATGGAGACCTTGACTGTACTTCTGTTTACATCCATGTTTCCTTAGGTTTGCTTTCTTGGCTTCCTGAGCTCTGACAAAGGTCTCCCCAAAACTCACTTAACCTAAGATAGAAACAATTATATTTTCAAAACCAGGAGGGATTGTCATGGTTGCACGGCCCACAGGTTTGCTGCTAGTCCTCTCTCTTCATAAGCAAGATGGTACAAAGGAAGAGAAGTGGCAGAGCAACAGGCAAGTCCTCAACTCCCATGGATCACTTAACCTAGTAGGAGAGCAAAGCCTACCTCTCTGACTTCGTGAAGCTGGCCGGAATACTGACTCTTGGCTCTTCGGGCGGCTGCAGGCGACTTGTGATGCGTGATTGTGACAACACCGGGGGCCCCCGCACTGAGGTGTCTCTGGCTACAGGGAGACGCAGAATTGGGTGTTCCATGGGGAAGCAAAGTGAGACTTCGGCTTCGGGAGCTTGGAGTAGTCTAGAATAAGCAACAGGTGTCAAAACTCAACAACCGACCTGCAGAACACAACTAAGTGCTGGCTTCCATTTATTCTAGACTTCTTAATCTTTTCCCTTTAGCTTTTTAGAGGGATGAAAGCATGGCACAGGTACAACACCTCCACATGCCCAAATCCCAAACTGACTTAAGAGAGACAAGCTCCATGAATTATCCTGGTCTCACCTGCAATTGTGTCTCCTGCTCTACACCTGGTCATGAAGAGCTGCTCAAAGTGTCCCCCCAACATCAAGGACTCTCATGGATGTATGCCTCTATACTTACTAGTTCTTCTTCCCAAATGTTCTTCCCCTCCTGGCTGGACAACTTTTTTTGAACCTTCAAGACTCAGCTCAGTGTTCTCTGCTGTGTAAAGCCTCTCCCTGCCTTTCTCAGCCTCTCCAATTCTCTTATTTAGTGCATCGAGATAATTCATCATCTAGCTATTTTTAAGTGTTTAATAAATGTATACTGCATAAGTAACCATACTAAATATCCACCAGTTAATCATCATTTGTTAGTAATATAAAATCCAAGTAATATTATAGTTTATGATAAAGATGGCATTTCAACCTAGTAGAAACGAATTTTCCAACTGGATGTTGGAATCATGGGGCAGTCATCCAAAAAAAAACAAAGATTCATCTCTCAGATCATGGACCCTGAAGGAGAAGGGGAGGGGTAGAAGAAGGGAGGGGGAGAGGGAGAAGGAGAGGAAAACAAAAAGCACTAGAGGAAAAGATGCAGCTTGGGTGTACCAAAGAATTAAAACCTTAAAATCCAAAAGGCATAAAAGAAAAGCTGAAAAAATTTGATTACCTAAAAATTGACAAGCAAAGACTCTGGCACCTAAGACCACCAGACCACTTATTTTTTTAAGAGTTATTTATTTATGCATACAAGATCTGGGGTACAGGTGGGGGGTGAGAGGATTCACCAGAGACAGAGTGGGGAGCAGAACAAGCAGACTGACTGAAATACACTGCTGAGGGGAGCAGCGGGCAAGACAGGAGAGCTCTGCCGCGTCATGTGGTTTGCTCCCTGGCCAGCTGGGGATCGAACTCATGTTGCAGAGGCTGCGGATTGCTTCATAGTGCGGTGCTTAACCCCTTGTGCCACCAGGGAGGCCCACCAGGATGCTTATTTTAATTACCCAAAAACTGCAAACTTGCACACAGGAAATGAAGTTTAAAAACCCACTCCTACCACCAACAAAGGCAAATAATAAACCAGGAAAAATATTTTCAACTTTTTTCACAGACAAGAGGCTCATCATTCAAATGTATAACAATTAATATAATTCCCAGGAATTGACATGAATGACAAACTATTGTTAAAATATGGCAAGATATGAGCAGCTCACAAAAATGCATAAATGGCCCTAATACCAAAGTGGAAACATACCCAGCTCTACTTAAAAAGACAAATGAAAATTCAAACCAGATTTAGATACCATCTTTCACTCACCAGACTGGCAGAAATCTCAAAGTTTGAGTACCTATCTATTGTGAGATGCTTGTGTGGGTGTCTAATCCCCTGAGGAGGGCAATCTGGCAGTACCTGTCACAGGTATAAATCACTTCCCTGTGATCCAGGGAGTGTGTCCTCCAGACACACCTGCTTTCAGGTGAAACAGCGTAGGTACACATTTGTCACAGCAGCAGCATGTTTAACAGTGAAGGAAGAGAAACAATCCAACCCATCAATATGAAACAGGTACATAATGGAACACACAACCAAACTGTAAGAGTTACAAGGAAGGTCTCTATGAGTTGGTCTGCGAAAAACACTATATAGTTAAGTGAAAACAGTAAGGTATAGAACTGTTATACAGTATTACAAAGTTTTTTTTTCAAAATATGGGAAATGAGTACTTTTAGTGCTATTTGTGTAAAATTGTTTCTTTCAAATACAAAAGAGGGTGGGGTGAGAGGGAGCAAAAAATAGACTATGATGGTACACTACAGGTGTTTTGCTGGTGGGTGCAGTGTGATAACACCTGAACGGGAAGATCCTTTATTTTTAAAACATGAACAATGTAAATCAATGTTATCTAAATAAATAAAATATAAGGATATAGAAGACTAACAAAATGGCTACTTATTGTGGAAAAGCAGGGAATAAGAGAATAGGAACAGAGAAGGGGTTGAGTTTTTTTTTTTAAATCTTTATATTCTTTTATTTGAACCATGTGAATGTATTAGCAATTCAGCATTTTAAAAATTCTGCATAAAACTTACATTGTGACTATTCCTGTATACTTTATGCAGCTGAGAATGCAGTTAGGTGATTTGTTGGATTCATGCCAGCTTATGTATGTCAAATACTATTTACTGAGCACCTACTATATACGGAGAAATAGGGAGATTTTTATAAGACAACCTTTCACAACAGACTCTTACAGTGCTGCTGGAAATGTAAGAGCCAAAACTCAGAAACACTCCCTTCCACACACACACAGAGTAAGGACAAACATAATTAGGTGCTTATACAGCCAGAAAAAGCCAAAGAACTAAGCAAGACAGGGATCAGTGACAGCTGACCTCATCACAGAAGGCTAGTCTAAGGGCAAAGGACTTGAAGCCCCAGTAGGATTTGGGAAGACAGATATTTGTAGCTGTACACAAAACAACCCAGACATTTTAAGCAGTGTTAGCCTCCAGTCTAGGGTAACAGTCACAGCTCTAAAAATAGTTAAATGTTAATTATCTATATTTTACGATTCACCATGGGGTTGGAAAGCAAAAGGCAGAAACCAGAAGTTTTCATTACATTGTAACATATCTTGTAAAGGTTTTCTGCATTTGAACTTCAATATGATTTATGGGAGTACAAAGCTGAGAAGAGGTGTATTGTATTACTTCTTAATAACCTCATATGCAGGTTGCAGGGGAAATTCGTGGTCTAAGAATTACATACACCTCAATGATAATGAAAGACAACCATCTGCTTTTAGCTTCGATCTTTAACCCTTAGAGTATGAGGGGGAAAGAAAGTAATTCTTGAAACCTTTAATGACAGAATATTTACCTAAGCATAAAAAGTATTGAAATACATTTTGATTGTTTGACTTATTTCAACCACAAATAGGTAGAACTGTCACTGAGTTTTGAAGCCAGATAGACAAGGTTCACAGGTGAAATCTGAGTGAGTTATTTGACCTTTCTCAGTAAGCATTAACATCCTAATCTATAAAAAAGGAATAACAACATTCACCCTTAAGAGACATCATGAAGATTAAATTAGATCACACACATAAAATGCTTAGCACAGTGGCTGACATGCAGGAGTTATGCAGCCCAAGTTAGTTTCTTTCCTGACATCACTTAAAACTTGATCAATGAAGAGGTGGGCGGAGCAACATGGCCGCGAGGAGACACTGCGAGTAAGATCTCCCATTAAAAAAAGTTAATAGGGAGGAAAAGCGGCAGGTCCCAGTGAGAACTGGGACACGGAAGATAAACGGACGACTCCAGCAAACTGCCCGAATAAGAAAGTGGCCATAAAAGAGGACGAGAAGGGAGGGAAGCGCAGAACCCTGCTCCCCTCCCCCGCCCACAAAGTCGGCACTCTCCGACCGGCAGAGAGGAGGAAACAACAAACCAAAACGGCCAACAAGAAAAATGGACACAGCAAGCGGGACTGTGAGTGGAAAGGAACTATTGCAGCCACCACACCCCGTGAACGGGAGCTGAGGCGAACCCTGCAGGATCCGCCGCGGAGGTGAGCGAACGGCTCCGGGCGCCATTAAAGAGAGCCCCGCCCCCCAGGAGGAGACCAGCCCCAGCACACAGCCCCGGCAGCCCGGTAAGCCTGCGCGGAAAGTGGCGCGGATCCAGACCAGATCGCAGCTGCCCAGGTCCCCGCGCCTGCGACCTAGGCTTGCGGGGAGACGGCGGAGGCCCTCCCTGAGTGAGCAGGAACAAGGCGCCCAGGCAGGGGAGCGGGATTCAAAAGGCGCCATTCCCGCGCCACTGATCTGGGCTACAGCCCGCGTCCTGGAACTGAGGGCTTTGGAACTGAGACCCGGGGCACGAAATTAGGGGCGTGGGTTCCCCACGACGGTGGGGCACAAGGCAGACACAGCACCCCAAAGCCGTTGAGGTGTACCCTACCATCCCCGCTCTGCTCCCTGTCCCACGGGGCGGAAAATCAGCTCCCCAAGGGCTCTAGGAGAGATCTCTGGCGCCACCTAGCGACTTGACCCCAGCAAGGCTACTGAAGGAGCTAGTGGCCAGCTGGGGAGTTAGCCCACACCTGGCTCCTTCCGAACAAGTAGTCTGAGCCCACAGGGAGAGCGAGCACCCACAGCCGGGGCAGACCAGGCGCGCAGAAGAGTGTGCCTGAGACCAGACGCGCAGGGAGTGTGTCCCACATCACCATTTTAGAACAGGGACATTTCTTCAGTAAAGACTACCTGCAGAAGGCTTCCTCAGGAGCCAGAGGTGAGCGGGGGAAGTTCGCCCACGCCAGACCCCCTCTGGCCTGCAGTCCAAGCCCAGAGGGGAGCAGGAACCCACCGCCGGGGCAGACCAGGCGCACAGGGGAGTGTGTCCCCACATCGGCATTTTAGAACAGGGACCTTTCTCCATTAAAGGCTGCTTGAAACTGACAGATGACTCCTGGAAGAACCAGAGGGGAACAGAGAAGCCCACCCAAGATGCCGGCCAGTCCCAACAACACAGTGTCCCAACGCATACGGCAAATTAGAAAACAGACAGTAGGGAGGAGAAGAACCACACGCAACCTAGCAACTCTCCAGAGAAAAAGCACACCACAAAAAGAAAGCCAGCCCCCAGATTGCAAAGACAATAACTTGGAAGAATTTCTGAGCCTTCCAGAAAGAGAATTTAAAATTGCCGTGATTAAAAAACTGACAGAAGTCATAAAGGAAAACAATGATAAGGGAAAAATAATCAACGATCAGAAGAATGCAATTGAGTCCCTAGAGAGGGAAAACAATGGTCAGAAGAAAGAAATTG